TGCGGGTGGGACTTGTTCGCTTGTAATTTATTGTCTTCTTTAATTATGATATTCATGCTTAGCCTAGTTGATTACTTACTTGATCGTTCTTTCCGTAATTATGGACTAATTGTGATGGTTGAGTATTTTTGGAAGTTAAGGTTTGGTATTTTGGAATCATTATTGACGTAAGGTTTATTCTTGCTTATTCTATCTCCCAAATATTTTATATTCATTACTACATGGTAAGGGAGAGTGTTAAAGCACGAAGAGTGATGACGTGCCGTTTATTGCTTCATATATTGATTAATACATAGTGAGGAAGAGGTAATATATTGATGTCATGCCGTATTTATCGTTTCATGGAGAGGTTGAGAGTAAAAGCACGAAGGGTGATGCCGTACCAATATTATTGTTTTCATGGTGAGGTTGAGAGTAAAAATACGATGGGTGATGTCATGCCGTTTTTATTCATTATGTTTATCCGTTTTCATTGGTTGAGGATTTATTTGACTGTCTTATGTTGTCATTCCTGTTGTAATTATCGTATCTTGTTCCCCTTATGCATGTCCCCTCCCATCTGTCCATACCAAATCTTTATTTACTGTTGTTTGGTACATATATCTATGTTTGCACATGTTAAATTATGTGAGTGTCCTGTCATAGCCTCGTCACTACCTCGTCGATATTAGGCTCGACACTTATAGAATACATTGGGTCGGTTGTACACATACTAAACTCTACACTTCTTGTGCAGATTTTGGTATTGGTCCCAGCTGTACGTGAGGTACATCAATTTGGATTAGCATATTTGGAGAATCGAGGTAGATTTGCTGGCATCCGCAGACCTTGAAGCCCCCTTCCTCGTTCCTTATTTACTGTTCATTTCATTCGAAACAGTTGTATTTATTTACAACTCTATTTGTAGAACTTCTAGTAGTTCGTACACTTGTGACCCTAGATCCGGGATTGTACTTAGAAATTTTTGGTTGTTTTACCTTTTCGCACATCATTTCAGTTCAAATGGGTTTAATTACTTGAAATGCTTAAAATGGAAAATTATTTACACTAACGTTGGCTTGCCTAGCGAGTGAAATGTTAGGCGCCATCACGGTCCCGAGGTGGGGATTTCGGGTTGTGACATGAGCATATTGTCTTGGTGTTGAATAAATTTTTGAAGTATAGCATAAAGTAAAGGGAATCGTGTGTTGAAGGCATATGCTAAGGTTTAATTGCTGCTATCAACCATAGTCATATATATGGTGTGCTTCGGATGTGTTAAAAGAAAATAAAGTTCTCAAGGTTAGTGTGAATTGGTGGTTGACTCGAGGACGAGCAACGTGTAAGTGTGGGGTAGTGATGTGCGGCCAAAATGCTATATTTTTAGTACATTACTCGCCTTACATGTTGTTAGCTTAGTGGTTAATTGTGCAACGTTTGAGCTAAATTATGTTATTTTATATGTAAATGATGAGTTCGAAACACACACTTAAATTATGCTTGCTAATAAAATATAGTATAGTATAATATCATATCCACAGGGATTGGATTTAAACAGTATTCTCGAAGCTTCTAGCTTGATTGATATCCACGATGATCAACAATTGAGAATTATATGATTTCTAACTAAAATTAACTAAGAGTCTAGAGCTATTGACTAATGATAATAGAAACAAATATAAGCAAGGAAGTTATCAGTGGGAGGAAATAAGGGTTGATAGGATAGATGCAAGATAATTGTCTGGGATCTAACTCTAGATAATTCACTTCTAATGTTTAAGCGGGTCTCTCAAATTCACTCAATTATTAGTTCAAGCGTTCAGCAAAAACTCCTCTCTTGATTAAGTCATAACCTCACAAGATGAACCAATTTAAGCACGTGAAGATATGCAAGAATGCGTAGTGGATTGGTTTTTAGGAAAAGCTCTTTCGATTATTCTCCTAACTAGTTTTAATCAATGATTCAACTAGCCTCTTTCGATTACTAAGAAGAATTAATGAACTCAACCAACAATATAATGCAAAGATACCACAAGTTATGCCTCTCTCGATTACATGAACAAGTGAATATAGATGGAACAGTTAAATCATCCAAAATGCTTCAATACATAGAACTAGAGTTATAATCCACAAACAATCATCAATACACCAAATCCATCAAACCCTAAAGGGAACTACTCCATAGATATGGAGCAATTCATCACAAATAAAGTTAAAGTAGAGGAAAAGATAAATTCAATCCAAACTCGGGTCTTGAGTGAGGAAGGAATTACGAAATCCTTGTGCTTTTGCTCTTCCAACTCCTCCTTAGCCTTCTTAGGTCGAATATGTGTCAAAAGTCCCAAAAATAATATTTTTTCATGTATTAATATTAAGTAGGGTCGGGCCCAGAGAAACCACCTCCTCCTAGCCGAAACAGGATAATTACTCTGTAAATATTGCACAGGCGTGCTGCATGGGGCGACGCGCCATGCAGGGCATTAATGGAGAAATCGAGAGAGTTGTTTCTGACAGGCAGTAGGAAATTGTACACGCGCGGCGCCCCATGCGCTGCGGCATTGGGGTTTTCTCAGAGTACAAATATTTTCGTGCGTTTTGACATCCAGACTTGGTCCTCGACAGCCAAACACGATCCCTGCTTAATCCCTTGGGCTTTTACTCAGACTTTAAAGCTTCAAATCACTCGAATTAGTTCCATAACATCTACATCACCCGGAATCACTCCTACAAGACATAACACACACAATAAGTACAAAACACTATCAATTAAAACTCAAAACAAGTAAAGTGCAGTGAATTAGAGTGTAATAAGCTACTAAAATACGAGATTATAGCCTACCATCAGTAGGAGCATCGGAAGACAAAGATCAGTGAAAGTTGCACAAAAAGAGGACAAAAATGCAAGAAAAGAACACAAAAGCATCAAGTACCCAAACCGTACTACAGACCAAGTAAAGCCATCTATATAGCATGTCTTACCGTGCTACACATCAAGTAACGCCAGCTCTATAGCCATCTTGACTGCACTACAGGCCAGGCGTAGCCAGCTTTGTAGTCAGGCTGACCGTGCTATAAGCCTGGCCTCGCGAGGTCTATAGCCCGGTAATTAAAAGTCGTGAATTAAAAGACTCCCACCAGGATTTGGACTCAAGGACTTCAACCCTAGCCTATAAATACTCCCTAAACATGTCTAAGAAGAGGATGCCATTTTTTAGAGCAAATTCGACCTAAAGGAGAGACGTTTTTGGAGAGGGGATTCGACCCAAGGAGGCAAGAAAACGCTAGGAACAAGGCGGAGAATTTTTCTACGAGTTTTTCACTTCCTTCTTCCAATTTTCATTATTGGTTATGATATCTAGTATTGTAGTTTTGCATACTATTATAAATAGCTAATTTGTTATCTAGGGTTTTGATAGAACCTTTTGTAGGATAAATACTTGTGACGTTTTTATATAATTGAGCCGTTAGATTTCTCTACTTGCTCAACTACGTGTTTATTGTTGTTGATTGAATGACATCAATTGACTGTGCTTATTTAGTATGTATATTGCTCGAGAGAGAGTACGTATTTAGGTAGTTGTTGAACAACATCACTCCTAATATATGTGAGAGATCAATATGGAGGGTTTAAAGGCGGGATTAGAGATAACGAAACTTTAGTGCGATCGTAGTGAGCGGTGAATTAGTGCCAACTAGCGTAGTTTGAGAGGATACGTCTAGTAAATTGTGGTAGTTGCTTGAGAGAGAGCTACGACACCCAAAGTACTCACGATCGGTAGAGAATACTTAGGCGAAATTATAGAAGACGTAGCGGGAAGGATTCCGATAATTGGAAAAATTATAACTCTAGATCTCCTTAATCTTTTCTCCAACCCCTAGTATCTCTAGTTATTAATTCACTACCTTAATTTGTTAGTTAATTAATTTAACATAAGAATGTTTATATTTATAACTTAGGAATTGTCCGAACTTGTCTTCTTAGTGATACTTAACAATTATAGCAAAGCCTTAGTTCTCTGTGGATTTGACTCCGGACTCTTAGACCAGATTATATTTGAAGTGACTGCTTATCCTTTTTAGGACTAGAGTTGGGCGTGATCATAATTCAATCTCTTCAATGAAACTTCATAAATCAAATCTTAAGTTCTTCTATCTTTCAAATGCAACTTCAAAAATTCGAATCAGAAGTAGTTCAATCTTTTTACTGCAACATTAGAAATCAAATCTGAAGTTCTTCTATCTTTCAAATGCAACTTCAGAAATTCGAATCTTAAGTAGTTCAATCTATTGAACGCAACTTCAAATTTCAAATCTTAAATTCTGAAACATAAACTTGTTCTTCGAATTTCAACAACCCAATACACGATCCAATATCCAAATCTACTCCAAATGAGATCTATTTGAAATATAACTTTCAAATATCATAAAGAACAAATCTAAATCATCAAATTGTCAAAACAACAACAAATTTAACAAACTCATTTGCAACTAGAAGAAGAAGAAACCCTAAGTACAAAGAAGAAAACAACAGTAAAGAAGAAGAGAAAGTGTATATATCTGAAGTTATCCAAAAATTAGGTATGTTTTTTCAAAAAAGTGGGTACAAATTCAGTGAACTGCGCAAAATTAGTTGTTGCATGAAAATTTTACCAAATAAGTGGCGTTCGAAGACATATGTTGCACCCCTTACTTAAAATCTGCCTTTGACTATGGTCCAACATAGTCTTGGATCTCCCTGCCATTCAATCATGCAGCCCACAAAATTGAGTGGCCTATACCCTATTTTTTTATTTTCTTTTTTAATAACAATGGTGTCCGTACCAGTTTGGACGCTTGCTAACTCTCAGTAGCACGGGTACCTCATAACTCCACCCGCTAGGGCAGATAAAAAAAATCACTTAACATTTTGCGTCTCTACTAAGATTTGAGAGCCGGTATCTTATGAATAGAGCAAGCTAGAAATTGAACATACCGATATCTAAAACTCACACTCAAGTTAAATAGGTTTTGACAGTATAGAGTTCAAACCATACTGATCAAAGGAAAATTGCTTTAAGTAATGATCAAATCACATTGTGTTTGCAGTCTTAACATGCGAATTTCAACATAAATTAGAAGGGGGGGAAAGGGAAAACGAAAATGAAATGAAAAGCTCACTGTCAAAAAGAAAAAAGATATTAGATGGTGAAAGATCAAATCATATGGTTGAATTAAACACTTTTTGACTATATGGCAGAAAAGAAATAAGAAATTGTCAATTACTCTGCTTGATTTCTTGGAAATGACTCACTATACTTTCTCGTCGAGCTCAGTTGCTAGTAAGCGATTTTGTTTTTCAGGTTTGATGGTAGATGGAGGTGGTAACCGCTCTTTTCCACCGGGTTGTGAGGAAGCATTACCATACCATATCATGCCAACGATTGCTATAGACATTCCGAAGACAACATGTAGATTGAGTCCCTCTTTCCCGAAGAAGAGGAAACCCAAAATCAGGACAAGAATTGTCTTCATATGACCAAGCACTTGAAATGTCACTGCTGTAAATCTACCAATGCAGATGAATTGGCTGAGGTTTGTCCCTATCGCTATTGTACATGATAGGATGATGAAAAACTGCAATGAGAAAAAAAAAAACATCTGAATTATTATAAATAGCAAACTACTAAGACCAAAAGGTTATGTACAATAGTGTATGATATTGGTAGTTCCCAGAAATGTATCGTTAATACATTGAGTTTGAGCATTAAACAGATGTATCCACATCCTATATGGTGAAACATTCTCCTTTTTAAAGTGCATGATATAATGGAATTCGCGTATGTCAACTAAAGAGGACTTTGATGTACTTACTAGTGATATTGAGGTATAGTTATAGGCATCGACCCTCTTCTCAGTCAACCAGTAGTCTACAAGGGGTCCCGTTAACAGCAGTGATGTCGCCTGTATTGGTGCAGTATGCCCCAACAGGTTGAATGATCCCAGTGAATATTTACGCTGAAGAAAATGTACATACTGCATCGGAAAAATGTAAATCAGCCACACTAATCAGTTAGTGGAATGTATAGAGAGCAAAGAAAATTAACATTGCATCAGGTAGAAAAGCAAGTTATGTTTGACATAGGCAAAAGGCAATTGATGTTCCACAGTAAACCACACATTTTTTACTTAATGACTTACATATTGCTGTAGGGCAGTGCTCCAGACGGCAATGAAGGCAGCAATAAAACCCTTTGCATTTACACTAACATCAGTAACAGTACAGATTGCAACACCTAGTAGGACCAGCAAAATGCTTAATTTGGTGTCCCTTGAGTATCGCACATTGTCCAGCACAATTTCCAGAAAGCACGACACTGGTATCATACTTAGCTTTGCAATCTGATGAGAATCAAGAGGAAAAAGTGGTGTGAGTTTGAAATTCAAGACAAGTAGAGCATAGATGTCCGATGAATCTTCACACTGACCTGATAGAATCCGACGGAGTTCCACATCAAACTAACATTCATTCCGACAATAGAGAAGTTTGCAAACAATACAAATTTCAATCGTTCAGACCAGGGAAGTTGGGAATTCTGGATATGCCCAAGCCATTTAAGGAAAAAGGTCATCAATGTCGTCGTGGCAAAATGTAGACCAGTTAAGGTTGTCGCTGCAAATTGGACGGAACAATAGGACAAAGTCAGGATAACAAAAGAAATATCAAGCTAATTCATTCTAAAGCTTACAAATGATTAGAGAGATTAATATAAACCAGTTCATAGAGAAACTATGCTTTTAATCTCAAAGATTATCTTAATCGATCAACTCCGAATTCTACAAACTAGATATTATTCAGTCTAGTTTCTCTTATCCATTGTGGCCACAAAAACAAAGTAGAAAGATGTTCAAGACACCATAAGGAAAAAAAATCATAGTCCCCCAAGGCAAATAAACAAACAGAATAAGAGATGCTAAAGATTTGGTGTATGTTCCTTAATATACTTGGTGGCCCGTGAATCATGCCGAGAGGACTGAAGGATATCTTCAGTTGGCAGGGTCAGGAAGTGAAGAAAAATATGAGAAAAGTCTGGAGAACAATTTCATTGTGCATATTATGGCCAGTATGGATAGATAGAAATCATAAATGCTTTGAAAATAAAGGTGATCATATATCTCTTGTTAAGCTCAATGTCTTCAGAGATTGAATTTGTGGTGTAACTTGAACATTGTAAATGGTATAGAGGATATACTGGACTTACTAGATTCCTTACAGCTAGCATAGGAATCTACGCTACGGCCTAAGCAGTACCTTTTAGGACTTTTTGAAGTTCTGATAAGAAGACAAGATGTGGAACTTTCTAACTAATAGCTAGAATAAAGCTGTGAAATGAAAACGAACAAAGTTCAGCTTTAATTGACCGGCTCTCTTCAGCATACTAACTTACCTAGAGCTGAGATCCTTTATTGAATACATAGTTTCCAGAAAAACAGCCTACTTAAAACATGGATTTGCCTTACCCTGCAAGATTAGTAAGATTCCTGAAATCATTTTTTTTAAGGTTTCTTGAAGTGCCCAGACTTCAAATTTCATGGCTAAAAGAACCAAAAACTTGACCCTCGTTGAAACAAACACAAAAAAGACGTGCACCGTTATACACAAGTGGATGCAATAGAAGGAAAAGCCAGCAAGATAAATGCAAAAACAGAACTAGAACATGTAAACCTTCAACACAAGTATATAACGTACCAAAGCTGAAACCATATGTAGCCATTAAGGCTTTATTAACAATAATAATTCCAACTGAAGTGACAATATTGAATGCCCATGCTGCCACATCAACAGTCATTTTCTTCTCATCCTTGACAGCCGTGGACATTTTCTTTGACCGCATCTAAAGCATAGAAAATTCTTTAACGTTTGCCCTTCAGAATAATCACCACAATTCAAACTTCCCCTGCATAGAAACACATCAAACAAATGAATAAGAAGTTCTCAAAAAAAGGCAACAAATGAGCTAGTTTACCACAAGGGCGTACAAAGACTTCGTTCCTAACATTCTTGTATAGAACCACAATTATGATCATTATGAGCGCTTCTATTGACTAACCAACCAGATTATAACGTTTCATGTGAATAAAGGAGGGAGAGCTAAGAGAAACAAAGAGAACCGTTCAATCAAACCCAATCGTAAACCTACATATATATCACTAAAGGAAAAGGCAAACAAGTATAAAGACAAAGCAGAGAATATTTGCTAGAACAATTTCATGTAATATAACCATTTGACAATTAAGCTGGGATGTGCCAAAAGGACAGTAAGTAGGAAAAAGTATAGTTTACCATATTCATAATATCACAAAAGGAAAGTAAGTTTTATCCCTCTTGACCAAATGACAACCACAAATAAAATAATAGTCCAGCCATTATATACAAAATTGATTACGTCCTTCTAATGAACTATAGTCAACCACATGATTTTGTCATGCAAAAGTTAAGAAAAGAGAACTCAGACAAAACAAATCACAACCAAAACACTGGGAGAGATCTGTGATATGCCTGCATATTTTTAAAAGAAATAAGCACAGATAAGAAGGAAAAAAAAGCAAATCAAATGTTTCATTGTGTCACAGATGTAGATCAAACGAAATATTTTATGCACGAAATGCTTTATTTTGGCTCTTTTAATCAATTTTATAAAGCATTTAATTTCAATTCAGTTTCTGGAAATATGTACTGATGAATCCATAAGAAAATCCAAATTCAAATTTCAATATTAATCCATTTTAGGTGAAGGATGAAACTAATCATTAGCTAATCATCTTTCTTTCTCTCTCTTCTCTCAATGATGGTATGAACTAGTACTACATTACAGAACAGAAAGGTTGCAATTATGGCACATATGTGGAGCTATAGGAAAGAAATAAAATCAGAAATCAATTGCCACCATGTAATCAATCTCCAGTGGAAAACACAAGGATCCACACACTTCATTCCATTTCCTCAGAATTTACATCCCAATCCAACCATTAACAGAGAAAAATCACTCAAATATAACAGATCTTCACAAACTACACAAATCAACTGCTTCAAAAATCCAAATTTCCAAGTAAATCAAGAGCAAAATAATGAAAACCCCACAAAAAATACATACACGCACACAAAATTCAAGAATCCATGAAAATCATAAACCAAATATTGAGAAACCCAAAAATCCAAATTTGAAGAAAATTAAAAGCTAACTAATGAGAATCCACCCCCACCCCAAAGAAAACAAATCCTACATCCAATAAAATCACAAACTAACCAATAAAAATCAAAAAAAGGAAAGAAACCCACAAATTAAATTCAAGAAAGATAAAAGGTAAGTAAACATACTTTCAAATGAATCCAAAAAAAGCGCCAAAATAGTACTAACAAAAACAGCTGCTACTCCTTCTGAGAAAAATCAAGAAGCTTTGGAGAAAATGGAAAGTGAGTTTATTTATATGTGAATTAAATGAGTTGTATAAATACAGAGAAAAATTTGGTGAAGAATGGAAAAAGTTTGGATCTTTTGCACCATTAAGTAAGACGTGGACTAAGGAAAGAGTTGCGTTTTTACTTCATGTCTGCGCTTGCTTTGTTTCCTTTTCTTAAATTAATTAACTGAAATTTATATTTATTGAAATGATTATTTTTCCTGTTTTATGTGAGTTTAGAATGTGAATTTAAGATCTGAGAATTTAAAATATTAGTAGTTTTAGTTAATCCGTAAAGTTAATGAAATTAAGATAACAGTAAAGATTCCTCTTGGTGTCTTGAGCTTTTTGTGATCTGAGAATAATATAAATTAATCAACTTTTCCTCTTTAAAAAATTAATAGATCCATCTTGATATCTTGATCTCGTATTATTGTTTTTTGGGTCGGTGAAAACTCAATAATTGTTTGGTTTTGGAATTAATGGAGGTTAAAGTTGTCCATTCATGTATGTAATACAAAATTCTACTTTCTTTCTTTTTTGTATTCTCATTTTCTCATGTGAATACGTTTGATTGACGCGAGTTTAAAAAGACAAAAGCAAGATCTTAAATATGCCATATATAATTTTGTGGCTATAGAAAATTTCATTAAGGATAATTAAATAAACATATTAAAAAGAAAATATGTTATAAATTGGAACAAAGAATGAATTTTTTTTCTTTTTTTGTATGACATGTTGTTGGTTTAAGTATGGCTCAAAGGTATTTTTAATATTGTGTAATATTATTTGTTTTGGGTCAAGTCAGCATAATATTTCCCAGTAGGTCTCACAATTAAGAGTATCCAACACCTTGTTATGTTTCTTTTTTACTTTTCATGTGAGACTTTATCTCATCAGCATTTATGGGTTAATTTGGAGATTAACTGTGTGATACCCATCATCCGAGTATGACCAAGCCTAGAGGCTAGTTTTTTCTTGTGTATGCGTTTTCAAGGCTATGGGTAAAAGTCATAAATCAATCCATAAACGGGCAAATGCACTAAGTCGGCCACACTATCACTCTATTATCTCTAATCTCGTTTTGTCGAACCATTGGTTCTTATACCACTTGTTGAATTAAATTGACTCAAATATATATATATTTTTTAAAATAAGTCTTCTTTCCTTTGATTATATATGTTCGTATGAAAACAATTGAATGTTTTTTATCACATTTCCTCTATATTGCCTAAGATCCAGTTTTAAATAAATATTGGTGCATTCATCTTTTGCCTTTTCAAACAATAGTAATGTATTTATAATTTTCTCCTAGTAGAAATTGGTAGTATTTGTTTTTCTGTCAAGCAGTAAGAATATAGTAATTGATAATGTTTCACATTTCAATTTTCACCTTTCTTAATATCTTACACAGTTCTTGACTGGGAAGTAATTTTATTATATATAAAGCCTATAAGTGATTTTTCTTTAAATTTTCGTACCTAGGTAATTTATGTTTGGTGAAGAAAATGTAAATTTATGTTGCCCAAAGATAAAAATTGACTCAGTCTCCTTTTGAATTATTCAACAAGTGCTGTTATTCTTTGAAGATTCCACTTTTTGTCAAAGCAGTCAATCATTTGAATTTTTTAAAATTTCAAACCTCAAGTCTGCTATAAGAAGAACAAATGGCATCATTTCAAGCTTCATAATCGAATAACCAAATTGAAATTTGATGCCGAATTTCGAACCTATATTTATTCGTAATTTCATTAAAAGAATATTCAAAACCCCATCATTATTCTGTAGTCCTAATTTGTTTTTACCTAAGACTTAGCGTGTTTGGCGGAACGGGAATTCTAGGTAGATCTCTTTATATACGTTTGAAAATTAATATATATACAGAGTAAACTTATTTTTCAGAATTCTCATTTTTTATTTTTAAAGCGGATCTATTTGTGAGTTATGGGTGCTCAAGCACCAATTACTTTTGGCGACAAACACTATTATTTATAACGAAAAACTGATAATTTATACAAATATATTAGCTGAGCACCAATCTTAGTAATAATTTTTAAATTAAAAATAGTTTTTTTTGGGTAATAAAAGACATTTATTCATAATAGTAACTTCAGGAGTTATTACAAATGGAGATATTCGTAAGTAGCAAGGTACCTATTCTATCTCTTTCAAAAGCAGTACAAACAAAAGAGGGTGGCACAAGATAAGTAAACAATCTTCCATAAACGTCCATTTTGCACGCATTATTTGTTAATTGGTCCGCTACTTATAATTTAAAAATTCTGGATCTGCCACTACAGTAAAAACGTGAAAGAAGGTGCAGAAAGAAAGGGCCAATTGCAACCGTTGGAGTCATTTTCTTTATTAAATTGAGAGATGAAAGACAATGAGATCATGAGGTCTAGTGTTGTCTGTGATGGTTGGCAAGATCTTGTTCGATTGATTTATGATAACTACAAAAACCAAATTGTGTCAATTTTAGAAGGTTGCACCACTAAATAGAAACCATGTCTTGTCCACCAAATGCTACCTTTGATGTTGGTTTTTGGATCATCCTATTTTGCATTTTTTAGTTTTATATTTACATAAAGAATTTCTTTTCAAGCCCTTGACACATTTAATAAATTGTTTTCCTCCAACTTCCTTTGAGATGCTAAATTTTAAATATAAAACTTTATGTTATCACAGATGTATCAAACTTTACTTAATATGTCCAATATTACTTTGCCACTCTTTGCATATTATTGCCAAATTACAATCAAAAACCAAAAAGAACATTTATTAAATAATAGAGGATTACATGAAACTTTGTATAACTATCAAAAAATTGTAATAGAGTGAAGTATCTTCTTGCTTTATGTTTTGACTTATACAAATAGTATATATCATGATCTCGATTTTTGGTCAAGCAAAGCTCAAAAGCTGAGTTCATTTGCTTAAGTTAGGAGCAAAATAACTCGAATCCAAGTTTTTTCTTTAGATGTCTTAAATATTACTCCATTAACTACAAAAAGAATGAAAAAAAATCAGAATATGAGAGTCAAACTCTCTGAGTTTTTGTCACGACCCAGAATTTGCACTTTCGGAACCGTGATGGCGCCTAACATTTCACTCGCTAGGCAAGCCAACGTTAGAGTAATTCTTTTGCCCATTTTAAACACTTCAAACAATTTAACCAATTAGACAAAATAAAACTACAATAAAGTACTAAGTAGCATAATGACCCAATTATCTAAGTACATCCTGGATATGGAGTTACAAATACACGAGCTTCTAGAGGTTCTACTGACGAGCACAAAACGTGGTATAAAACTTAGGCTCACTAGTCAAAGAAAATATAATATTAAATCGTTTCCACAGGGATTGGTTTAAATAATGTTCTAATAAATCTTCAACTCAATACTATCCACGATAATAAACCTTTGATGTATGTTATTATCGACTACTAATAAAATTAAGATTATCTATTGTAAGGAACTAATGACAATTTAATGACTAAATAGCAACTATTAAATATCAAGGTGAGAAATAAGAGTTGTGACAGGATATGTAGTCAACTATTATTCCAGGTAACTCTGTGTTAAGTTCACTCTTAACTTCTATTGACTCCTTCAATTTCAACAGATGATTAGGCTACCGTAGGGATTTAAATTCTTCTTCCGAATGAATGAGAGTTCCCTTAATTAGGGGTGGGTGTCGGTCAGTTATTATGAAAGTACGGATCGGTTTATCGATTTTCGATTTTGTAATATTAATAACCAAATCAAACCAAAGTATTTACGGTTCGGTGTAGTTTTTTCAAAGTTCGGTTCGGTTTTTTGCGGTTTAGTTTTTCGGTTATTAACGGTTCAAGATTTTTATATCCGATGTGGACTACTAATGTAACTGAATATAATATACGTGCCACTGAAAGATTTCAGACGTGCCATTAAATACTTCAAACAAGAAGAAAGAAAAGCTTTTTCCATTCTAATTTCCATATGAAAATCAGAAAGCTATAATAGAGACTAATTGGCATGCATTCTGATTCTGAGAATTGAAAGCTTTTTGGCATCTCTTTGGCATGCATTCTGATCCTGAGACAGAAAATGGAAATACAAACACAATTTAGCTAAGGATTGAGAAGGGCAAATAATTACCAACAGTTGGTCTAAGTCCAAGCAAATTTGGAACAATTATATGAATTCTCAATGCCCAAATCGCTCCGTTTAAATTAATTTAATAAATAAATAATTTTTAAAAAAAGTACTTCTTTTAATTTCAAAAATATACACAAATTAGAGCGAGTTCCCATCCCTCTCACTTCCAACCTGCCAAAAAAGCAAAGAAGAAGAGAAGGAGAAATTTTGATACCACCTAACAAGAATTACCTTATGAAGCAAGCTTCTTAGTTCCATATTTATACTCTTAAAAATTCAAACTTATTCTCGTATAAATAAAATTAAATTCAATAAAATAACAAAATAGCACATATATAAGACATGTTAATAAAAGAGAGGAAGCTTTATGAGTAAATAATTAAATTCTCAATTAGGAAATAAAAACCTCAAATGAATAATTGAAGTTTTATCCGCTACATAATTATATAGAGAGAGACATGGAGAAGAGGACAAAAATGATGAGAAGGAAGGCAGTGAGGGCAAAAGCTTTGACAACACTCTAAGCAGAAGATGTTTTCTCATTTTTTTCTCCTATTTTCGTGGACCCCACATCCTGCAAAGAATTTCTTAGTCATTAATCCTTCTAACAATGCAGGTTTCATCGTCTCTTCCATCTTATGATCCTTCTTCTTTTTTATAATTTGTTTAAATTTTCCTAACAAATTAAAAGTAAGAAAAATAGTACTATGTAGCTGCTATATGTAGAAATAAGTCTCAGCTCAACTAAATTTGAGGAAGAAGGTAACCACTAACCCGAGGAAGAAGGATGAGCGATCGGCGACAGCGACGAGATGAGGAAGAAGGCGTCACAGGAGCGTCGGCACTCGGCAGTACTGCAACAGTCGCACATAGTGACATAGGAGGAACCCTAATTTCTAATTTATAAGGAGTAGGGAAGGAAAATGGAAAGTAACGTAAAAGTCTGTAGGCTAATTAGGCTTAGGTTTTGGGTAAATTGGGTGGGTTTCAGATGGGTATTGGGCTTCAGCCT